AAAATTCAGAAGGCTGAAGAGAATTTAGGATCAGTGTTCACTGAAACTTTTATTTTGTGTCCACTGTATGCAAAAGATATGTTCTGAAATATTTTCATCATATAAAGTATGCACAGTTTTTATTATTTATATTGTGGTAATACCCAAAGACCCCATTGTGCTAGGTGCTGTACGAGTATGTAGGAAGACATTTCCTGCTCTAAAGTGTTCAAAAGCTAAAATTCTATGATGCTTTTTAGGATATAGTTTAAATTTATGTAACAACTTATACGATTAAAAGACTACATAACTAGCATACACCAAAAGCTTGATGAACTGAATTGATCCTTCTCCTTCCCTTCCAGATGGTACAGGCCTCCCCATGTAAATGCTTATGTTGTTTTCTGGATCTCCCCCTCCCAGCCCATGTGGTGCTTGAGTGCTGATCATTAATTAACATTGATCAAGCTCTAACTTCGTTAATTGTCCATGAGGATCTGAGAAGCAATACATATTCTGGGCCACCTGGGATGGAACATAAATCTGATTCTTGTGTGGGAGAATGGGGACTGCTTGTACATGGCAGTTCATACCAGTGGAAGAACAGCTTTGCTATAGTTGAGGTTCAGATTCACTGTTCAGTGAAAACAACGAGGAGTCCTTGTGGCACCTTAGAGACTAACAAATTTATTTGAGCTGATGAAGTGGGTTTTAGCCCACGAAATTGCCCAAATAAATTTGTTAGTCTCTAAGGTGCCACAAGGACTCCTCGTTGTTTCTGCTGATACAGACTAACACGACTACCACTCTGAAAACTGTTCAGTGAGTAGATGACTTTTCTAAATGGCCTAAAATCCAGATGCTGACTCAGGTTGTCTTGAAAATTGTTCTGCCGTATGGTGGGGGAGGGGGTCCTGGGTAGGATAAGTGAACCAAATTTGGGATTATTTGAGCAAGATGTTCTCCAAATAAAGCCCTTCTAAAAATCCTATTAGATTCCTTTGGTTCTTATGATGCTTTTTTGCGCACACTTGGGGCTCAAACTATTCTTCTAATCCTCCTGGAATTTATATCGCCTGCTAGGATTTATCTCAGCTAGGGCACGGCACGCACCGTCCCTCTGGAGAAGCAATATTTCAGAAATTATTGAGGGTAAAGTGAGTCAATCCATGCTGGAGTTCCCAAAACTGATGCACCAAAGAGAATGAAATAATGATGTGCAGTAAAAGTAGGACTCTGTTGCATGCCAGGAGGTTTGCAGGCAGCCAGACATTAAAGTAAATGGGGGGCTCAAAGTGACATGCTATGGTCATTGAACTTGAGCAGCATACGTGCACTGTGAGTTCAAGTTCTACCTTTGGCAGCTTCTTGAGAATGTGTTGTGCACATTACTTGCTTTTTACTTGGATTCTACAGCAGCTCCTTTTGAAAGTTTTGCCCTGAGACAAAGCTGTTTAAAAGTGTTCTAAAATCCACATACATTATGCAGTTTTATTTAGAGGTATTGTCAAGAAAAAATAGCATTAATTAAATGGAGGGAAGATGGAAAAACTCTTGTGAGCAGTTAGGATAATTAAATCATGACTCCTGCGCCTCAACCTTTCCCTGAACAACGGTACTATGTGATTGAGGAAAAGCAAGAAACTGAGTCATTTTGTCTAGTGGTTCCTGATACATTCCCTACTTAGCAGGAGCTGTTCAAAACGTTTTAAGGTTCTTACTACTAACAGTATTTCTAGGGGAAGTCTACGACTCTGTCCTTCGTGAAATTTATAGTATGGACTGCCATTGCGATCAGTTATTGGGTAGTACAGTTTAGAAATATTTCAAAAGCTATCACGTTACAAAAGCTTTAGTACCTCTTCTTAGAGACAATAAGCGTGTGTGTGCTGTTTGGAGTGACACACACTGAGAAATTTACTCAGTGGTTTAAGGGAACAATCGCTGTCCCTAGAGTCCAAGCACAACGAGTTCAAATCTTCTGTTCAGGTCAGAGGCACTGAGTTCCTGGGGCATGCTCGACCCCCGCTCTGCCCCAGGCCCCGCCCGCACTCCACCCCTTCCCCCAAGCCTCCACCCTACCTCTTCCTGCCCTGCCCTTTTCCACTTCCTCCCCAGCCCTCACTCTGCCTCCGCTCTGCCTCTTCCTGCTCTGTTCTGGCCCCGCTCCTCTCCCTCTCCTCCAGCGCCTCCTGCACACAGCTGAATAGTTGATCACTGGCGGCTGGAAAGCGCTGGAGAGGAGGGGGAGGAGCTGATCAGTGGGGCTGCTGGTAGGTGTTGAGCACCCACTATTTTTTTTCTGTGGGTGCTCCAGCGCCTATGGCTTAGATGATTTGTTTGCTGTGCATATGAGTGTTCTCAGCCTGCCTTTCTGCTTGGTGTCTAGGACCACAGTCAAGCTCCTTTTGGAAGCTGTGGAAGTTCAGCACTCTACAAATACACCCTCAGTGCAATCTACCTGAGTCCCTCTTTGGGACAGCTTGTTGGCCTGTACTATGTCAGGGAGACAAAACCAACTGATGCCTCCCTTCTGTGGGTTGGAGGCTTGGGGAGGGAGCATTGAGCTGATCTGGACAGATACAGACTAGAGATGAGGAGCTAATGCAGGGGCAGGAAAGGGACCAACCTGCAATCACTATCTTTTGTGCCTGGGGTAGTGGTTGCCAAGGAGCCAGAAGCAGTGGATGGGGAGAACTGAGCTGTAGTACGTATGGATGCTGAGAGAATTTCTTTCTAGTATATATTTTAAAATAATTTAACACCCTGTAAACTTAACACAGAGTTAAGATTGCTCAGTGCTGCCTATGTCCTTCCAGAATGTGAAGAATGACTAAACCTATGCCTCTGAAACCCAGAAATTACAAAGTTAAGGTACACGCTAACCATGTAATGCAACCTTAACTCTGCCCCGCAGAGATGGCAATAGCCGCTTGAAATGGTTCAGTAAGGGTGGTGCAAAGGTTGAACTACCTAAGGAAGTGGTGGACTTCCTATTCCTTGAAGTCTTCAAATCAAGACTGGATGCCTTTCTGAAAGGTATGCTTTTGTCAAACACATGTTATTAGGCTCAGAACAGAAGTAACTGGATTAAATTCTTTGGCCTGTGTTATGCAAGAGGTCAGATGAGATCATCTAATGATACCTTCTGGGGTCTTAAAAATCTATTAATCTATAATAAGTGGAGTTAAGTAAGGACTAAAAATGTGTCACTCTTTTGAGTTCTACAGGATTGAATTCCAGTATTTGTCAGCATGCACTCCAGCATGCTCACAGTGTTAGGTGCAGCTGTATTGATTAGCTGAGGAGTTAGCTGGAGCGGGTTGGCAGAATTATCCCTGTAATATGAGGTACCTTGAGAAATCAAGTAAGAGCTCTCCTGTCGGAATAAAAACCCACAACTCTGCAAGCAGCATAAGCTACATTGTAAGGAGAAGCTCTCCTGCCAACATAGCACTGTGCACGTGAGCGCTTATGTCAGTATAACTTATGTAGCTCAGAGGGGTGTGTGGAATATTCACCCCTCCCCCCCCCCCCCAGTGACATAAGTTTTGCTGACATAGGCTGTAATGTAGACATAGCCTTAGCCAAATCCATTCTCATTCTCGGTGGCTTTTCATGCGAGTGATGGTTCTTTGTCTTTAAATCTGTCATCTATTGGCTTTTATGGCACTGTTTACTCATTACTTTTTCCTTACCTCTTAAGTTATTTCTTCACTGTCTTATTTGGTGGGTCTTCCATTTTCCCTCACTTTTAGTAGACATCCCCCAATGACTCCCACCTTCTGCTCTGCCAATGTCAGCCTTGACTGCCTCTTCTTTGCTTCTCCTTCAAGCTCTGTCATGTTCCCTTTTGGTAGCTTCCTGTATTACAAAATAGCTTTGCATCATTGTCAAGGAAATGTATCAGCCAGCTACAAAATCTGCTGGTCCAGCTCTTACTGTGATGACTGAATAAACAGCTAAAGATACATGGCTCACTATGTCTACAAACAAACAAATTCTTCCCAAGGGAGATAGAGAGGCTTAATTATAAAGCCTTTATTTTGCTAGGCTGTTTTAAGTGGGATTAATAACAGGTGTTTGGTAACTTGACTACAATGAATTGTACATCGGGGAGAATGTGTTGAAGTGAGAGGAGACAATAGTTGCTATTTTGGAGCTATCCTAATGCTCAAATTACAACAATTTTCTCTGGGTACCAAAAAAAAAAAAAAAAAGTCTGGTGAAGAAGTTTAATATTAAACTGGCCAAGATTTTTTTTTTTAAGTGGGTGTCTAAATCCTAATTTCAGTACCTAAATAAGTGTTCTGATTTCCTAGAATGATGAACAGCTGGAAACTTGTGTCAAGGGGAGCTGTTGAATGTTCAAAACTTTTAAAAATCAGGCAGTTTATTTAGATACATGTGAAGGGGGATACTCACCACTGATGCTGCCTACTGGCTAGGTGGGGTGTGGCAGGCTGTCTTCCTTCTGGGCATCCCCTTTCCTATAGCTGCTCTGCCCTGCAGTAGTCTGTCCGCCCAGTATGAGAAAAACAACCTCTGAGCGACATAAGTTTCGCTGGCATAAGTGGTAGAGTGCATAGTGCCACTGCTCATTGGGGATGTTTTTATTATGTCAACAGGAGAGCTCTCTCCCGTCAGCACAGAGTGGCTACTCAAGTTAGCTTACAGTAGCACAGCTGCATCGGTACAGCTGTGCTGCTGTAATCTTGCTAGTGTAGACATGGCCTTAGTTAGGTCACTGTCGCCAGGCCTCAGGCAGCAAGAGCTCCTATGGTACTCCTCAGGATCTTGGAGTGATCCATCTCCATCTCTTGGAGAGATCCACTGCCTACCTGCTACTAAACTATTCTGTTCTCCTTTTTAAGCTTCTCATCCAGCCTGTGCAGCCTGGGCCCAAAGCAGCTCTCTAACTCCTTCCTTTCCAGAGTGGGGTTTGTAAACTCTGTCATTGCAGTTTAGAATGGCGTCAGGAGTGCTCATTTTATGAAAATGTGTTTTTTTTTTTTTTAAAGCAAAGAACTAATTATCCAGAGACAGAGAGAATGAGCAGTAAAAGAGCTATATTTCTACATCTGATCTTAAAGCTGTAAGTGTTAAAATGTAGTATTTTCTTTTTAAACTGAATAAAAATGTAATAAAATTGAAGATTGTTTCTGCAGTTGCACAATATTGGTCACTTTCATTTCAAACTTTTTCCTTTCATTCTGCCACCATTTTGGCCTAAAACTGGATAAAGTTAGAAATTTAGTAGTCTATAAATGGAGTGTTTTTTAGTTTCCTTTGTAGGGCGTGTTTCTGTACCTCATCCAAAATGCTGCTCTTTTTCTGTTGATATTGTATTTTCTCTGGCTGGAAGTAAGATAGACATCTTCCTTTCAAGCAGATGTCAATACTTCATTGTCTGGCCAAGAAGGATGTTAAATGAATGAAGGAAATTAAATGAATGGAAGAAGTCCTCAAGGAATCAATTCTGAAGCACTTCTAGAGGAGAGGAAAGTGATCAGGAACAGTCAGCATGGATTCACCAAGGACAAGTCATCCCTGCCTAATCTAATTGCCTTCTATGACGAGATAACTGGCTCTGTGGATGAGGGGAAAGCAGTGGATGTGTTGTTCCTTGACTTTAGCAAAGCTTTTGATACGGTCTCCCACAGTATTCTTGCCAGCAAGTTAAAGAAGTATGGGGTGGATGAATGGACTATAAGGTGGATAGAAAGCTGGCTAGATAGTTGGGCTCAATGGATAGTGATCAATGGTGTTCCATGTCTAGTTGGCAGCCGGTATCAAGCGGAGTGCCCCAAGGGTCGGTCCTGGGGCCGGTTTTGTTCAGTATCTTCATTAATGATCTGGAGGATGGTGTGGATTGCACCCTCAGCAAGTTTGCAGATGACACTAAACTGGGAGGAGAGGTAGATACGCTGGAGGGTAGGGATAGGATACAGAGGGACCTAGACAAATTGGAGGATTGGGCCAAAAGAAATTTGATGAGGTTCAACAAGGACAAGTGCAGAGTCCTGCACTTAGGGCGGAAGAATCCCATGCACTGCTACAGACTGTGGACCGAACGGCTAGGCAGCAGTTCTGCAGAAAAGGACCTAGGGGTTACAGTAGACGAGAAGCTGGATATGAGTCAACAGTTGCCAAGAAGGCTAATGGCATTTTGGACTGTATAAATAGGGGCTTTGCCAGCAGATCAAGGGACGTGATCATTCCTCTCTATTCGACATTGGTGAGGCCTCATATGGAGTACCGTGTCCCATTTTGGGCCCCATACTACAAGAAGGATGTGGAAAAATTTGGAAGGAGTCCAGCGGAAGGCAACAAAAATGATTAGGGGACTGGAGCACATGAGTTATGAGGAGAGGCTGAGGGAACTGGGATTGTTTAGTCTGCAGAAGAAAAGAGTGAGGGGAGATTTTAGGGGGCAGCCCTCAACTATCTGAAGGGGGGTTCCAAAGAGGGTGGATCTAGACTTTTCTCAGTGGTACCAGGTGACAGAACAAGGAGTAGTGGTCTCAAGTTGCAGTAGGGAAGGTTTAGGTTGGATGTTGGGAAAAACTTTTTCACTAGGAGGGTGGTGAAGCACTGGAATGGGTTACCTAGGGAGGTGGTGGAATCTCCTTCCTTAGAGGTTTTTAAGGTCAGGCTTGACAAAGCCCTGGCTGGGATGATTTAGTTGGGGATTAGTCCTGCTTTGCGAGGGGGTTGGTCTAGGTCCCTGAGATCCCTTTCAACCCTGATATTCTATGAATGAGGAAGTCTGTGTTCTTATTGCAGATACCAGACATACTTTATAATTGTGCTTCGAGTGTCTGCTTGCAAATGATGAGGGGGAGCTTTACAAGGACAGGAGGATGAGAAGCCATCAATTTCTGCAGAATTTAAGATGTCATAATTGAAAATGGATTCCTTGGGTAGGAAATGGATGTCATCTGTTTTGACTTGGTGTATATTTTGGTAAAATTTTGGGTGGGCATTGTGAATTGGGTAGGGATTTAATATGACCAAAGGTTCTTATGGCAGTGGGTTTTTTAAAGGGATGTAGAGTTTTTGAAGAGTGTAATATTGTTTTTGGTGTTGAAACACTTTGTCTTCACACACAAACTTGATTTAAAGATTAATTTTCTGAATTTTTGAATGAGCATCAAAAGTATATGCCAAGGCAATTTAAGAAGTTCACAGGAAAGAAACTGTGCTCTGACAGATCGTTTGATCTGGGTTCTCCTCCAGGTTTTGGGAAGTGTGTAGAAGTGGAGTTTTGGGGTGGGAGGAGTTGTATGTGAATGTGATATGAGGAACATAGATTATGAAACAGAATGAATCAGAAGAGATGCGTTTTAAGTGTTTAAAGTTTTTTCTTAATTTTTAAGCAGTAAAGTTCAACCTGAATAAGACTCTCTGCCTTTCCAGCCTCCCTTCCCCAAGTAACACAGCTCCGTACTGTGTCAGCTGCACCCTTTTCATCTACTTATTTTCTTTTCCCTCTTCAGTGCCTTAAGTCCTTAGGAGATCAACTTAATTTATAAATATTTAAAAATAAATGTAGCTCTTTATAGACATGAAAGCAACTCTGTAGGCATGTGACCCAGGCTGTCACCATCGGTAACAGACAAGGAGAGAAACAGGAAAAACAAAAATGAGCTGCATCCTGCCACTTTACCATACACACAATTCTGCACAGAATATTTTTTCATCTTAGACTAATATTGAGAAAATCAGAAAAAGCCTCATCCAGAAAAAGTCCTGCAAGTAGCAGACAGTTTAAATTTGTTTCAGGTTGGAGAGAGAAGAATTTTTAATATGCAGAATGTCTCAATATAAAATTCTTCAGTTTCCCACTACTTCCTTGCCTCCTGATGCTATAGAGTTCCTTGGCAGGACATGTACTTTTCTTAATTTTTTTTCCTCCTCCAAGCGCTCCCTGGACTATGCTTTCACAAGTCCTTGTTTACATGCTGCTTTGCCTACCTCAGGCCTGGTCTACCCTTAACATTTAGGTCAGTATAGCTATGTCATTGAGTCCTGTAGCTATGCCAAACTTAACCCTGGTGTAGACACAGCTGGGTAAACAGAATAAATTCTTCCATTATTAAGCTGTCATTGCTTGGGGAGGTAGAAGCCCCTCTTCTGTCATTATAGGCTGTGTCTACACTACAGGGTTGTGCTGGCATAGCTACAGCACCATGGTTATGCTGTTGCAGTCCTCCTAGGGTAGACATGGGCTTAGTGTAGTGCATCACAGGTTGTTCTTACATTTTTCTTTTGTGTCTTTGGGCTTGGCTACACTTGCGAGGAACAGCACAATAAAGGAGCCCCGGGCACACTGGCTCACTACCCGTCCACACTGGCAAGGCACATAGAGCACTCTGACTCCGCGGCTACAGCGCTGCTGGTACTCCACCTTGGCGAGTGAAATAACGTTTGTTGCGCCCCTGCTGGAGCGCCGCAGCACCAGTGTGAATGAGGTGTTGAATTACTGCACTCTGATCAGCCTCTGGAAACGTCCCATAATCCCCTTAAGTCAAGTGTCAGAGTAGCAGCCGTGTTAGTCTGTATTCACAAAAAGAAAAGGAGTACTTGTGGCACCTTAGAGACTAACAAATTTATTTGAGCATAAGCTTTCGTGAGCTACATCCGATGAAGTGAGCTGTAGCTCACGAAAGCTTATGCTCAAATAAATTTGTTAGTCTCTAAGGTGCCACAAGTACTCCTTTTCTTTTTAAGTCAAGTGGCCACTCTTGTCATTGTTTTTGAATTGCTGCAGGATATGCCCTTTGAAAGCTCCGTTTCTGACAGCGGGTTGCTTATCTGCTACGAGACAAAGCAAGCCATTAGTGTGGAATGCTGTGTGAGAGAGAGAGAGGCGGAGGGAGGGAGGGGAGTCTGCTGCTGTCTGAATTTACAAGACAGCATGCTGACATGCTTTCAGCCCCCCAAAAACCCACTCTCTCCCCCCCCACATACACACACACTCCACCCCATCCCCCACATTTGAAAAGCACGTTGCAGTCATTTGCGTGCTGGGATAGCTGCCCACAATACACTGCTCCCAATGCTGGTGCAAGTGCCGCAAATGTGGCCACCCCAGTGTGCTTGAAGCTGTCAGTGTGGACAGACTGCAGCGCTTTCCCTACTGCGCTCTCCAAAGGCTGGTTTAACTCAAAGCGCTTTACATCTGCAAGTGTAGCCATGCCCTTTGTAACTTTTCCACTAATACACTAAAATTCTGAAGGGCACTTTTCAGCAAGGCTAACAAAACAATCTTGGCCATTCTAGGCCAAGTCATCTTGGATATACCGTATTCTGAGTAAAAAAAAAGCTCTTTAAAAAGTGAACTTCAGGTGATTTTTCAAACTTTAAAACTCCTTTTCTGGCTTTTATCAAACTTCCTTAAATTCTATTGTGAGATGAAATGATGTCTGTGAAATTTCAGAAAGATTGGTGGAGGAAGGGTTGAAAAGTGGGATTATAACGGGAAGTTAGCTTCAGCCTTAATTGTGGAGCACCTATTATTGCTCCATAATTTGGTAAACAAAAATACTTCCAGCTTGAGACACTGTATATCAGGCTTCTCTCTGGAGAGCATATTTAAAAATTTAGATTAAATATGCTGGCAGTCGTGGTCTTGATTGAAATTCACCCTGAAGTGAAAGGCTCAGGTCTCTACACCATGTGCACACTATGCGTGTGTCTGCACTGGCCCTACAAAGGTTGGTTTAGAGGAAGTCAGGGGAGAGGTGCATTGAATCCACAATGACATGAATCTAGTGGCCCTCACTATTTAAATTTATGTTGCAGCAATACCCAGAGCTAGATACTGCACAAACAGACATGTTCCTACCCTGTAGAGCTTAAAATTTAAGAAGATAAGTGACATACAGAGTGGTTTGGAGATGGATATGATTGTATACATACAACTTTTGCATTTAAAACTTTTTTCTTTTTATAGATCAGCTGTCTCCAGCCCCTCAACCCTGACCATCATACATTGGTTTTGCAAATGGCTCTGCAGAACTGTGGCTGCTATTCCAACCCTTAGACTCCTATACCATTGCCTTCAGGCTAAGGTGATGAATTTTACCCCTGCAACCTCCCACTCACATCACCTGCAAAAAGCTTGCTTTCCAAGGCCTGGTCTACAATGGGGGGAGATCAGTCTAAGTTAAGCAACTTCAGCTCCGTGAATAACGTAGTTGAATTCAACGTACTTAGACCTACTCACCGCTGTGACTGCTGCCGCTCCCCCGTCGACTCTGCCTGTGCCTCTCGTGGTGGTGGAATACAGGAGTCGACGGGAGAGCACTTGGGGGTTGATTTATCGTGTCTAGACTAGACGCGATAAATCAACCCCCGCTGGATCGATCGCTGCCCTCCGGTCTGGCAGGTAGTATAAACATACCCTAAAACAGACTTCATGGGATAATGAGGTCACCTCTGTAGAATTTAGTGCAGCAATTATAGCAGTGCTATAATTTTGGGCATCCTTGAAGTCATAGACTAGAAAGAAAAGAACGCACATTACAAGCTCATTACTTACCTTTTTTGTTCATGTAAGTGCAGCAAAAGTAGAGAATGTGTCCTGCAGTAGGAGAGAGAGAGCTGGCGGTGTTGTACATGCTGTAAATCTAGTAAACAGATTAGGCAGAACAGACTCTCAGTCTCTGCCTTAACTTAATTTTTGCATTAAGCCGTGTTTGTACATTATGGTAATTGCAGAACTGCTACCTTAAATATATATCTGTCCTAACTTTGTGTGGTGATAACTTTATTTTAGACAGAAAAGCACCATTAAAAATAACTTCCATAATCTCTCAAAGACTTACAGCAAGGGTGCCCAAACTAGCCTATGGGGCTGCTTGTGGTCCTTGCAGGTGAATGAAGTACCTAGACAGAAATTGGAAGTCTCCCGTTGATTCACATGGGATGGATTACATTACCAGTACACAGGAGTTCTAAGACAACTAATACAGAGGTCAGGAAAATTAATCTTTCCACAGATAACCTCAAGTCTAACCTATCAACATCTATCTTCTACCTATCCACAAACTGACCACTACAGAGTGCATGTACACTAAGTTTCCCTCCCCCCCCCATTAGTTTAGTACTAATGCAACTCTAGTGATGGTAGCTACAGGTGAATCAGTAATACAGACAGGATGAGAGGAGGGACAGGTGTTATTTAACTTTGTGTCTTCTAACCCCTGTGCCCTAACTATACTAGTGCTTTCACTGGTGGAGTTGCATGGGTGCTGGTAAAGCATATACAGAGAGTGAAGGCTTTACCCCACCTCACCCTTATTCCAAGATTAAATTGCTTACTTAGAAGGAATTGAATCTTGGTGCTGTTTATCTCAGAACCTGGAACCATTTTGGCATCCGTTTTATTAGAGGAAGGTTTAGAAGGATAAGAATGTTGCATCACACTCTAAAAGTTGCAAGACCGAAGCTCTGCCTGTTCTGGGTCTTGCAATTATTATTATTGCTTATTTGTATTGCTGTAGGGTATAGAGGCTCTAGTTGGGGATCTTGGCTGGATTGTGCTAGACACTGAACGTGCACATAATGAAGAGGCTGTGCCTTACCAAAAGAGTGTACAGTTGGTGGTTCTCAAACTGTGATCCATGAGCCACTGGTGATGTGCAGAGAACTTGCCCTGGAGAGCTAGCTGGTCACAAGGTGTCATCTTGTTTCCGGTTGTTGAATCATAGTAAGACAGCTAAAAGATGTTAAATATGTTTTCTAATATTGGTTTAACAGGTAAGTAGTTGCAGGTCATGAATAGGAAGGAAGATGGTACCTGAGATTGCTTTTATTTGAGATATACAGTATAAAAAATTGAAAACCCCTTCAGTAATGAATTTCATAGCTAAGGGCCCCTTACTGAAAATGCCTTACCTTGGGTGTGTTTGAATCTGGGTTCAGTCAGCTTTACCTTTCCTGTCTAATGCAGCTCCTGTGCTGGGTCTGGAGAAAGAGGTGGCCCCTCAAATACCTATGCTCTAGGGTTCAAAGATGTGGAGCAGAATCTTGAAACATATCTGATGCGGAATAATATTGGGGACAAAAGTTTGGTGTGAATTTAAAGAGTCTAAGGGCTTGTCTACACGTGGAGTTAAGTAAATTCCTGAATTACTGTGTGGATAAACCCTTATCATATAATTTACTTTTCACTATTTATGTTTTTTACTATTTCATTGTCCAAGTTGAGGGGAAATACAAAACTAACTAGTCAGCTTTACTTTCAGATTCTCATACTAGCAGTATAGAGCAGTGTTTCAGTTGCAGGGGTTGTCAATTCGACTTTTTAAAGTTTCCATTGGAATCTCTAGAAATTATTGAAAAGTTTGCTGGCTGTAACTTTATAAAAACATTTTTAATAAAAATTCTAAACCTACACTGAATGCGTCACTTGAATCTTAGGCCCGCAACATGTTGTATTTTGACACAAAAGCTGTAGCTATGTATGTACATCTGCAGTGGTGTACGCTGTGTGTGGGCTGTCTGAATCTGGTTCAACACTGACAGGTTAAAGTAGTGAATATGGGGAAGTATTTAATTCTTGTGGGAATACTGCTTTTTTTCCAAATTCTCTTGCAGTAGTCTTCCATGGAGTGGATGGAATCTGGACTGCTTGTGTTCTAATAGTACTTGCTGAGAGGCTGGCAAAAGAAGTATCTAAAGAAACTGATGCAGTTTTAGCTTGTTCTGCTCTGTGGACACTTGCCAAGCAATATTATACACTGGACAGTAAATCAGAGATTCATAAAATTAGGGAATGTGAGGAGACTGACAGTAAAGGTCAGAGTAGCTACACTGGTGATCCTGTGGCAGTATGTATTATTTTAGTGCTAAACTTGGTACCCTTCTTCTGTGCTAATAAATATACTGTGGAACCTCAGAGATACGAACACCAGAGTTACGAACTGTCTGGTGAACCGCCCACCACATTTGGAACTGGAAGTAAGCAATCGGGCAGCAGCAGAGAGACACAAAAGCAAATCACAGTACAGTACTGTGTTAAATGTAAACTACTAAAAAAAGGGAAAATTTTTTACAAAAAGATTTGACAAGGTAAGGAAACTGTTTCTGTGCTTGTTTCATTTAAATTAAGATGGTTTAAAAGCTGGATTTTTCTTCTGCATCTAATGTAGAGTTGAATCAGGCAGAGCAGGGACATGAACCTGGGTGTCTCGTATCCCAGACCAGTGTCCTAACTGGATAGATAGACATGCAAACTCACCTGCCTATGTGCCTGAATCAGAAAGCTCAGGTTTCAGTCAAAAACCAGATATTTTGGCACAATTCTGTTTTTGCAAAAACATTAGGAAGATTTTGATTTTGTTCCAGTGCAGAATGAAAATAAATTTTGAAACCTCAAAAGTCACTGCCTACCATGAAATGGAACTGACTTCTTCTGGTCAGCTCCAATGCTTAACCAAAGCAACAGTTTCTGTGATTTAGGACTTTGAGGATGCAGCGTCCTGAAAACCCTCCTATCACTTTCTTTAAAAGCACAACCAAGAAAGGAGGTAGAGGTTGCAATGGATTTGGGAAGAGAGAAAACGTATTGGAATAAGAAGTGAGTGAATGTGGCAAAGGTGGTGAGAAACACCTCAGTGCTAAAAAGTGGCATAGGAAGGAGGTGCAGGTGTATGTTGCTTTTATATGTATTGAAAATATTATATAAAAAGAATGAAAGCAAACTGCTGTTCATTATAAAATTTAGCACATACTTCAACTTGCAAAGGACATAATTAAAAGACTACTCTAGTAAAATCAGAAGGTGAAGAAGGCAGATTTTGTTTAAAGTTTAGAATCATCATGATGGCAAGAGATGAGATAGTAAATATGTAGGAGGTAGTTCCTCTGACAGTCATGCGTGGGTTCCAAATATAAATTGAAAAATGCTTGGCAATGGGAAGCTTAAATAGATTGTATCATAATTCATTTTGGAAGACTTTCAGAAAATGAAAGTCCTTTATACTTTTAGAAAATCTTAGGTCCCCTTATTGTCTTTTGCAGATCTAATGTACAGCCTTTGCTCAAATCTTAGACTTCAGCTCAAATTGAAATTGTCTTATGGACATGCTGATTCAGCTTGGCTAGCTTTGCCTTGTTTTTTACCTGTTACAGGCTCCAGGCTCCTCTTCATAGCAGTGTCTAGATACCATTTTGAAGGCTATGGTATTGAGGCAGAAGAACCCCTACCATGTGATCAACTGTCTCTGCAAACCACTAGTGGTCCACAAAACTCTGGGAATAACTGCGTTGTTTGACTTGACAGCGAGGAGAGGCAAAGCTTTTCCCAATATTTAAGCAGGATCAGTTTGGAGAGTAAATTTAATTAAATCACACTTTCGTTAGAGATCTCAAGGATTTTTTTTATTTCTATTCTTGACAAGTTTGCAATTCACTTCACTTGCAGGCATAAACATTGCCTTTGGCAAGATGGTTCTATCTGACTTGAATAATAGCAGGTGGGAGCAATTTGATCACTTTCTTTAAAGAAAGTCCTCTGGTAGGCATATTTGCCCGCCCTCAGTACTGTGTTTAGGCTACACTGTTCATATGAGACATTTTCTGTAGGTGGAAAGACTGTGAGTACCAGTCTAAAGCACTGCAATGCACCATCCGTGTCATTCTTTTTAAAAATAGTAAGGTCTGGAAGAATGCTTAATTATTCTGCTGTGTAGCCAACTAATTTTTAGAGTTCCCTTCTAGTAATTATAGAAAGAGACATTTCTTAAATAATTAAATTCAGCCATGATTAGCTGTATTCTTGCATTACATAAGGGGCGTGAAAATATACAACCCTTAGAGCTAGTATAGTAAATCTTTCTACAAAGAATGAAAACAATACATCTGGTGCCTGCTTACTGTTATGCCAGATGTTTTTTACAAAAACATGCAGCTCTGAGATAATGCTATAAACTGGTTAACTAAAACATGCTTTAATAGAAAATCAAGAGATTATTAAAATATGTAGTGGAAAAAATATTAGATGCTATAAATTTTGAGATACTGCTTATGTAACTGGTCAACTGTACACCCAGTGACAGATGGAGGT